TATGAGCAAATGCTGGTCTATTCTGCAGTCTGCCCCTATTGCCTGGTTCTGCCTGATGATACTGAGTTTCCCCATAATCTCTTTCCACAGCTGTAGTCAGTTTGATCCCTGTGTATCCCATCTGATGAGGTCCACCATTAGTATTGTTGCAAAAAGGTATTTGTAATGAATAAGTCATTGGTTTTACAAGATTCTAAGTGAGATCCTCTGGGTTGATTCTAGCCCCAGCGCCATATTTTCCAACCACTGATCATTCCGTTTCCATTTTTCACAGTCCAATCGCCAGTAATTATCAACGAATCTTGACTGCATGTTTGATCAATTTCATAGTGCAAAACTTCATAAAAATCTTCAGTTCCTTCATCTTTGACATATACAAGTTGATGTGTAAGTTTGAATCATAATCATATTCAATGGTCTTCCTTGTAGGGTTGATGTTACCCTATCACGGACAGCATAATACTTGAGGACAGACCTTGAAATATTCTTTGTGACAGTGACTACAATTGTGATCCCCTTCCATCTGTCATTGCCAGCACAGTAGGCCATATGACTGTCTGATTTATAATAGGCAATACTAGTTCATTTCAGCTTACTAATGACTGGGCTGCCAATCTTCAAGCTTTCCACTTCATTTTTGATGACTTCCAGTTTTCCTGTGTCTCATACATTCCACGTTCTTATTTCTAATGGATGTTTTCCTGTGTCTCACACACTCCATGTTCTTGTCTCTAATGGACGTTTTCCTGTATCTCACACACTCCACATCCTTATCTCTAATGGACATTTTTCTATGTCTCACACACTCCATGTCTTATTTCTAATGGACGTTGGCATTTTAGAGGACTTCCAGTTTTCCTGTGTCTCACACCCTCCATGTTCTTTTCTCTAATGGACGTTCGCAGCTGTTTCTTCTCATGTTGAGCCGTGCTCCATCAGCAAGTAAAGGTTCCCACAAGCTTCATTCCATCCACATCATTCAGGTCGACTGCTCTGAGGAAGGAGCTCTTACACAGTCTTATTTTAGTGCCTCCCAACCCAAGGCCTCATCTTCTGGCACTATATCAATTAATGCCAGGTCCTATGTTCCAATCTGTCCTAATCTTTTTTTTCAATGTTTTATTGTGTATTGTGTGATCGTCTACATGGGGTAACATTAGTTTTACATTCATTCCATCATACATCGTCTCATTGTCATAGTTTCCATCCCGTCTATGCATCATCACCCAACCAAAGGGTACACCCTGCAATCCTGCCTGCCTTCCCCTCACGGTCCTCAGCACACAGCCCTTCTCCTTCTTCAGATCCTAGTCCCCAGCCACTCCATCTCTTCACGTCATCCTGTCTCAGTCTCCAGCCTCACTGCTCCTCTGGGTGGGGTCCAGCTCTCCGCTCTTTTCCATTGATGGTCACAGGGCCCTCCGCTCCCAGACTGAAAGGTTTATCATTTCCCTCCTTGCTATAAAATGTCCATCTTTACATTTCCAGTCCTCACAATCAATCCTGGTAACAGTTATTCACCCTTGCTTCCCAAGAGACCCATCTGCATTTCTTTTCATCTGCCCTACCTAGACTTGTCGGATACTACTCACTGGACACTCTACCATCCTCCTCGCCCTGTGGATCTAGGTTCCCTCTTGAAAGCTTGTAAGCCAGTCACTCCTTGCCTTTGTATCCCTTCTCCCATTTTGGTTGGTCAGTGTTCAAGATGGCCATCCCTATCTACTCTTTGTGTGTGGGGGGGGGGAATAATTCTTGGAGGAGGGATTTATTTCCTATTTTGGACTGCTGCATTTATAAGTGGATGTCCAGTTTATCAAATTGTATCAGGTGACGCTTTTTTCCTCTTCTGTCTTCTTCGGGTTGAGCTCTGTTTGTCCCATCATTGGAGCCATGGCAAGTGGGTATCATCTGTAGGTGTGGGTGTTCCAATCTGTCCTCATCTGAAGCTCTGCTGAATCCTGTTCCCCATGGGTAACTCAGTTGGGATTTGGAATACCAGAGGTTTAGCATCCAACAAACTGACAGACGAGTGATGTCCCTTGTCCTGAGACCATCAAACATTAAGAACCTGAAGAACCTTAATTCCCTTAATTTGAGAAACACTGAAACTCTCACTACAGACACCCCATATTAACCCTACTTCAGAGATCCTGTATTCTCCTCATCCTGGGTACTCGGGATCTCCTCTCCTTAGCCTGAGCAACCCTCAATAACCTCATTGTTGTGTAATTTAAATCCATTTCATGAGACCCTAAATCTCCTGAATGTGAGTCTGAGGTACCCAGGCTCTTATCCCCTTAACATGATAGATCCTTCATTTTCTCAACCTAAGTACCTCAAATCTCGTCATTCAGAAAAAACTCAAATTCTGTTCTCCCAACTGATTGCAAATCCCCCAACCCTAAAGGACCCAAATCACCTCAGCTTCAGAGACTACAAATAACCTCATCCTCCGGTCCCCAAACTCTCAACCTGGATGATTCAAAAGCCCCTTGCTCTATGAAATCCCAAATCTCGTCATGCTGAGAGAATCTAAACCCCCGCAGCTTGAAGGACCCTATATCCCATCAGTCTACAGATCCCTGCTCTTAGATACCCAGCCTGCTGTATTCATAGATCTTTCCACATTTTCCTGGCGGAGACCCCAGACACTTCTCTGAGAAACGCCATTCTGAACTCCCACGACCCCTTGGCTGCGCTACTGCATCAGAACTTGTAACGCCTCAACACCCTGAATTCCCATAGTCCTTCTCCTCTGACCCCAGTTCCAGATACACTTGGCACAGGGCAGTGACTTGGGTCGCTGTCCTGACTGCCACCTCTTCTTTCCACAGGCACTGTGCTCTTGAGCTGGAACTCTCAAAACCTGTGGGTGATGCTGACAACATGAAGCTCACCAAAAGCCATGGAGGAGCGCATGAGGAGGACACCCACAGTAAGGGGGGAGTGGAAGCCGGAAAGGGAGGCCCACCGAGAGTGCTGGAGATGGCTGGTGCGTGGGGAGGGGTCCAGAAAAGGAAGGGGTGGGGTCTGTTGGAGAATGAGGACACCGTCCTCATCACCTACCCTGTTTGGGAAGTGCTAGAAGATGCCTAGAGTCTGCTCAGTTCATCAGAAAGTGCCTCCGAAGGAAGGAGGTTCCTTGTGCCCAGCTGCTCCCTGTCCATGTGGACAGACAGGTGGTCAGGCACACATTGTATAATAGCACTTCAGGCCAAAACAAGTTCTCAGGCTTCTTCTAGCGTCTACTAAGGCGGTTTTGTGGCCCCTACCGCTTTCTTCTTAAACTCCTCCACATTACTAAAAAACTCATTCACTCAGTCATCATTTCAGTGAATTGTTAGAAGAAGCAGGTGACAGCCTGCTCTATTAGATGGGGTTCCAGTAACTAGAACTACAGATTCATCAAGACAGCAGAGTGACTTAAGTAGAGAAACAGCACCAACATACAGAATACATGCCCACACATGTCATACTAATGAGCATGCACATGTGTGTGTCATGCCAGTGAGCATGCGTACACATGATCCAACACAAGACAATGAATTTGTACAGACGTCTACCACAACAGATAGTGAACTAAAATCGGTGGTCGTCCACACCCGCCTACTACACCAAATGGAGCACCGACATGCGTGTCACATCAGACACTCATGCAGGGGAGGACATCCTGTGTGAAAGGACTCAGTACGGCAGAGACTGGGGACAGCTGCCTCACATTACTCATGAGCAGGTGGACTGAGACGTTCAAATAGCTGTGGGCAGAAAACTTGGGTGGAGAAAGCAATGCATGCAACTTCATGAGGCAGGCAAGAGGGTGTTTGAGAAACAGTCAGGACACCCCAGCAGAACCAGCGGTTGAGGGGAGTAGAGGAAACAGGGTTAGACCCACACCCATGGCCATGAGTCCATTCCTACTCATAGCAACACTGTGTAGGGTTTCCGAGGTGGTAAATCTTTATGAGAGCAGAAAGACTCATCTTTCTCCCGTTGAACAGCTGGTTGGTTTGAACTTCCAACTTTATTCTACAGCAACACCAGAGCTCCTATAGAGACAGAAATGGGGAAACTAGAGTCTGAAATTGATGCTACAATATTAGGAATTGTCCTGAGAGTGGGGGAAACCTCTGGGGATGAGGAGGCTTTGGTTAGACTCTAGGATCAAGATGTGATTGGGGATCCACTTGGGGACTACTTTAGCGCCCAGGAGAGAGGGGGGTGGTGGACAAAGGTGGGAGTTGTCTGCATGAGATATAATTTGAAACAGAACTTCCTATCGCATTTCAGCTCGAGGATGCCTGGGGGAAGTGAGTCAGGTATGAGCAGGAGGAGCGCAGCCTGGCAAAGCACACGTGTGTCCTTTATAATTTTTGGAAAATGAGAGAGGTATAAGTGAGCAAGAACTAGTGTCCTTTAGTTAGTGGACCAGGGCCAGTTCTATATTGTCCACACTTGAGTCCCAGATGTGGGTTTCCAATTGCTGAAGAAGATGCAATGAATAAGGATGGAGGGAAAAGTAACCCTATAAAGGAGGACTTGGTGGAGTCAGAGCCTGTGTTCTAATCCTAAGAGGAGCTCTTTCCACAAAGCAGACAGCAGACCATCCTTTCTCCACTGACTCTGATGGAAATCTTTCTCTTCCAGGAGAACCAAAGGCAGAGATCCATCCATGTCCTCCCTGCCCTCTGGTCTTGTCTGGTCAGAAATTCCTCCATCAACAAGTGCAGCACACCCATCCCTCTCAGTCCTCTCCAAGAACTACTGCGGAAAAACACCTTCACCTAGAGCACTGCCATCCAGGGGATGGGAAGGAGCCGCATTCTGAGCAACTCTCCATGAATGACAGAGCAGAAGGTCTAGAGATGGGAGATGGGTCCAAAGCCATGTTTGAAAGGACAAGACAGGGGGACATTTTAAAGACTTTCTCTAGTCTACCCAAAGAGCAAATGGGGAGTTCTAGGGAGGCTAACAGAATGACGCAGACAGATGCATGCCCAGGCCAGAGGATGAATGCTGAGGACACAGGCAAATTATTCCTGGGGAAAGGAATCCCAAGAATTGCAAAAGTTACGTGTAGAGAGTGTGGGCAAGGCTTTAGTGCTAAGTCAAGCCTTATCACACACCTGAGGACACACACAGAGGAGAAGCCCTATGTCTGCAAGGAGTTTGAGCGAGGCTTTAGCCAGAAGTCAGACCTCATTAGACACCAGAAGACACACTCAGAGGAGAAGCCCTATGTCTGCAGCGAGTATGAGCAAGGCTTTATTCAGAAGTCATACCTCATCAGACACCAGAGGACACACTCAGGAGAGAAACCCTATGTCTGCAGGGAGTGTGGGCGTGGCTTTAGCCGGAAGTCAGTCCTCACTATACACCAGAGGACACACTCAGGGGAGAAGCCCTATGTCTGCAGGGAATGTGGACGAGGCTTTAGTCAGAAGTCACTCCTCACTGTACACCAGAGGACACACTCAGGAGAGAAGCCCTATGTCTGCAGGGAGTGTGGACGAGGCTTTAGCCGTAAGTCAGTCCTCACAGTACACCAGAGGACACACTCAGGGGAGAAGCCCTATGTCTGTAGAGAGTGTGGACGAGGCTTTAGTCAGAAGTTACTCCTCACTATACACCTGACGACACACTCAGGTGAGAAACCCTATGTCTGCAGGGAGTATCAGCAAGGCTTTATTCAGAAGTCATACCTCATCAGACACCAGAGGACACACTCAGGAGAGAAACCCTATGTCTGCAGGGAGTGTGGGCGAGGCTTTAGCCGGAAGTCAGTCCTCACTATACACCAGAGGACACACTCAGGGGAGAAGCCTTATATCTGCAGGGAGTGTGGACGAGGCTTTAGTCAGAAGTCACTCCTCACTGTACACCATAGGACACACTCAGGAGAGAAGCCCTATGTCTGCAGGGAGTGTGGACGAGGCTTTAGCCGTAAGTCAGTCCTCACTGTACACCAGAGGACACACTC